ATGATCATATCAACTGATGCAGAAAAAGTATGAACTTTATCATGTGTTCACAGCAAAAATTATCAAAAATCAAACAAGATAGAAATTTCCTAAACTTGATAATGAATTATGTACAAAAACCCCATTGCTAATATGACACGTGGTGGTAAAAGACTGAATGTCTCACTCTGAAGATTGGGAACGAGGCAAGACCATCTGTTCACACCACTTATAAACATAGGGCCGAAAGTCAGCCAGAGCAATAAGGAAAGAAAACAAAAGGACACTCATTGGAAAGGATGAAATAAAATTGTCTCTACTTGCAAATGTCATGACGGTCTATGTAGAAAGTCCCAAAGAATCTACAAAGCAATATAACAAAACAAAAATCCACCAGAGCCCCTCCCAGAACAGGTGAGTTCAAGAAGGTGACAGAATATAAGATCTAACAAAACATGCACAGGCCTTGTATGCTAACAACTACCAAATACTAGTGACAGAAGTCAAGGAAGGTCTAAAATTTTGGAAGCACACTATAATAAAGTTATCCATCTCCTCAAGCTGATATATAGGTTTAGTGTAATTAAAATTCAAGAATTTTATTTTAGATACAGGCAAGCTTATTCTATAATTTATGGGGAGTAGAACTAAAGCAACAATTGTGAAAAAGAAGAATAAAGCAAGAGGAATCCCTGTACTTGATGCCAAGGCTTACTGTGTAACTACAATTATCAAACTGTATGGCATTATTGGTGGGATAGATACATAAATTTAAGGAACAGAATGAAAGGAGTCCTTATGTATACAGACAACTGATTTCTGAAAGAGGAGAACAAGTAATTCAGTGGAATAAGGATAGTCTTTCTAATAAATCATACTGGAACAACTGGGTAACCATAAGCATATGAAGTAAAACCTCCACCTATGCCTCACATCCTATACAAAAATAACTCAAAAGGGATTCCAGACTTAAATGTAAACCATAAAACTAAAAAATTTTAAAGAAATATCAACTTTAAGAAAATCTTCAGGACCTAGGACTTGGTGAAGAGTCCTTAGATATGACACCAAATTCACGATCCATAAAATAGAAATAGACTGTATTTTATCTGAAACTATTAAAAGCATTACAAGACAAGCTACAGACTGTGAGAAAATATTTACAAACCAGGTATGTGAAAAAAAAGACTATTATCTAGAACAAAGAACTTTCAAAACTAAATTTTAAAAATCAGATTAGAAAAGGGACAAAAGGGCCGGGGATTTAGCTCAGCAGTTCAGTGGCCTGCCTTGCAAGCGCAAGGACCCGAGTTCAATCCCCGGTACCCAAAAAAACAAACAAACAAAAAAAAAACAGAAAAGGGACAAAAGACCTGAACAGCTATTTTACCAAAGAAGGCATACAAATGGGAAATAAGCCCATGAAGAGATGTTCAATATCATTAACCACGAGAAAAAGGCAAATCATGATCACAATGAGATATGTGCACACATCTATGAGAACAGCTAGAATGAAGAACAGTAATAATAATAATAATAATAATAATAATAATAATAATAATACCAAGTTCTGGCAGGGGTGCTGAGAAACTGGATCTCTCATATGCTACTATTGGTAATGTAAAATGGGACAGCTACTCTGGAAAATTGTCTGGCAGTCTCACAAAATGAAACATACACCTACTGTCTGGCCTAGCAAATGCAAAAATCTTTATACTACTTAGCTGTCCTTCAGGAGTGAATGGTCAAACAAAGTCTAGTATACATACCATGGATATACTCATCAATAAAAAGGAGCAAACTCTTGATAGATACAACCACCTAACCTACGTGGATCTCCAGGGTATTATGCTGAGTAGGGAGAAAAGCCAATCTCAAAAGATTATATACTATATTATTCCACTTCTATAAAGTTCTGGAAATTAAAAAACTATAGTAATAGAAAGCAAATTAGAGACAGTTAGGAGTTAGGGATTCTGGGGAGTAAAGAGGTGGGTGTGACATGTGGGGTAGAACAAGGGACATCTTCATGCTAACGGAAGTTTTGTAATATCTTGACTGTAATGGTGCTTGCATAAATCTATGTGTGATAAAATGGCACAGAACTATGCACATGCATTGAGCCCATGTTAGCTCCTGACTATACTATAGTTGTGTAAGATGGAACCTTCAGGTAAAACATACATGGAACCTCTCGGTTCTATTTTTGCAACTCCCTGTGCATCTGTGACTATTTCAAAATAAAAAGTTTTTCAAAAATTATGCTGAAGAAAACTTTTATATCCTAAAATCATCTGGTTCACATATGAAAGAAACTTGAGAGAAAAAGTTTTTCCAAATTTGACAATTCCCATAATTTTTATGACATTACCAATAAAGAGTAGTAAGACTGAATCTTTACTGAAATATCAACAGTATTGGCAAAATTTGATCACCTATGCTAGAGAAAAGATTTATATACATTTCCATTCTCTCGGTACATAATAGTATGAAACTATTATATGAAGGAGAGATCACAAAGCAGGCAGATTTTAGAAAAGTATTATAGACTGCATTCCATTATCTGAAATGCTCGGGACCAGAAGTGCTTCAGACTTTGGAGGGTTTTTTTTACATTTACATAAGTTTTACCAGTTGAGCATCCTTAATCTAAAATGCCTTAAAAATGGGAGGAGTAGGGGAAAGGAAAGAAGGAAATAGAATATAAGAAAATGAAAAATAATGGAAACAAAGTATTTGTAGATAGGGAGGGAGGGGTTGAAGGGAGAGCAGAGGAATGGGGAAAAAATAAGAACCAAGATTGGTTATGTAAAGATACAAATTTCCAACAATGAATGTCATATTGTATACATTAAATGTACCAATAGAAGTAATTTTTTAAAAATATGAAACTATTTTTTGTACCAGGGATTGAACTCAGGACCTTGTGCTTGCAAGGCAGGCGGCGGAACCACTGAGCTAAATCCCTGGCCTGACACTTTTTGAGTGTCACGGTACTCAAAAAGTTTTAGATTTTGGAGTATTTCAAATTTTAGATTTTTGGATTAGAGATGCACAACCTGTGTAGGCAGATAGTAAATAATTTTATGTGTGACTGTTTTAGATTTCATGATATTTGTATTTATTTGTACTGATTTTATTTGAGCTTTTGAAAACTTTGAAACACTATAATTTTTCATTTTATTTAAAAAATCACATATATATTTTTCATAAAATAGCTAATCTTATACTTGAATTTGTATGAACAAATTAATGTAGCTCTCTAAATTGTATAAAAGGGCCAAGCTGCACAAAATTGGAATCTGGTGCTATATGCAGGTATTCTAAGAGACTGTAAAAGAACTTAAAACTTCAGAGTTGCAAAGACCTTTAACTCATCATTGTATAACTGTGGGACTAGAGGTAAGCTACCTAACCCTTTAAGTTTTGGTTTCTTCATCCATAAAACGCTCATAAAACAAGGATTACAGTACATACGCATGAATATGTAATCAGTTGTCCTTTATAGAAATGGCATAGTATTTGCAGAGACTCTATACACATCCTCCTGGATATTTTTAATCACATCTAGGTTACATACGACATAAAATACAATGCAAACACTATATAAATACAGTCGTGTTATCCAGGAAATCCAAGGAAAAAACAGTCTACATGCTCAGTACAAGTGCAATTTACTTTTTAAAATATTTTCAATTTGCAGTTGACTGCATCTGCAGATGTTGAAACTACAGTTATCAGGTCTGGCTATATACAGAAAGCACTTAGAACATAATACCTAGCACACAGTAAGAAGTCACAACATGAACCCCAGAGCAGTCACTGCTGGCAACAGCCATCATCAATTTTTCCCATCAGCTCCCAGCCTACTTTGGGCATCCTCACTCCTGTGTGCCTCAGGGAAAGCTGTCCATGCTCTCAGCCTTTGGTAAGTCAGTTTTATCAGCCTACTTTTTGAAAAAGGTCATGAGGAGTACTGATAAGTCAACCTTCTACTCTTAGGGGAAAATTATTTGACCCTTTATATGTTTAGAGGGGGTTGGAAAACAGAAAATGATTTATCAAATAGCATGAAAAATGAATATGATTTCACCAGGCTCTGAGCATCCAGAGTACCTGAGTGACCAGACTAATAGGAAAGGAAGTAATTGAAAAGGTCATGGAACACAAAGGCTCTCAACTATGTGCAGGGTCTATCAACTTTCTTGTCCTAATCTTGCTACACAAAATAAAGATGGTACAATCTTATGTCTCAAGTTTAAAGCCATGAGACTATAAATTCTCTTCTTCAGATTTATATTCTCAAGGATGGATTATTTTCCTTAATCCAACCCTTGAAATCATGCCAGGAAGTTGAAATTCTAATCATTCGAAATTTTATGACATTACAGTAGCCCTTAGCACAGCTGCACTCCTTAGGCAAGTACAGCACAATGATGAAGCATATAGACTCTGTGGTGAGAATACCTGGGTTTAAATCCTAGCTCATCCACTTAGAGCTCTGTGACCTTGGGCAAGTTGTTGCTTTATGTCTCAGTTTCCCCAACACTCTCTTATAGGAATGCTATAAGTATCTTAATATATAAGTAGAATTTCAAACACACCTGCAATACAAGTGTTAGTGATAATTACGAATGTCACCAATAAGCCCCCATCTGCAGCTGCACACTGAGACACACTAGTCCAGAAATGGTGCAGCTGGCAGTGGTTAAGCCTAGTAACCCCTGCTTAACACCAATACAAAAGTTTCAGGTAGAAAAGACTAGTTTATTAAAGTCTGCTTTTCTGTACAACTCCAAGAATGACTGGGAGATCCCTGTTCATTTTCTCACGCATTTTAAAATCTAGAGAAGCTAGCAGAAAAATAAACAACATCACCACCTTGTGGTTTTTCAGAGAATGATTAGTTACACCTTCACATTTATCTTTACTCACACCCTTTAGTTACACCTTTGCACACTCTCAAGAATGTTCATCGTTGACATCTGTAGACACAAAATTGGCCTTGGTTCCAAACTGACCTTATATTAAGCCATGACAACATGGGTGTCGTGCCTCCACCGATGATCCAGACAGTGAAGAAAACGATGAGGAGAGTGGTTGTGAACATCATCTGGCGAGCGTAGGATGCTGTGTCCCGGATGGCCAATGCAAATGCCATCGCCCCCCTGAGCCCTACAGGGACCAAAAATGAAGATCTACTGGTGAGAACTGACAAAGTTTCCTCAAAATCCCTGCTGCCACTTGGGGCTAATAAACTCTAGCCATCTGTGCTTTGGGAGCCAAGTTGTTTTACTCAGAAAGAAGCACCCTAAAGGTAGTTTTCTCCTCTTTAAAGCTGTTTTTGGCAAAGTTCCCAAACACGATGAGAAATACATTGTATTGCTTTGTACAGTATATTTTAGAATACTGACACTCTTAGTAAATGATTCATCAGCTAGTAACCTTAAGCAAAAGAGACACAAACAAGCAATAATAACATAAAATCTCTCTAAGTCTGTGATCCAACAATACTCAAATACTACACAGTCAAAATAAATTTAAAACACAGGCTAGGTATGAATGTATCAAGTGCACATTTCTGGGGGGAAAAACACATTTATTTAGCAAAGGGAGAAGCCCACACAGATAAATGAAAAAATGGCCTAACCTATACCAAAGGTTGGCAGCTATTTTAAAAACATTTTTATTGATATATATTTGTGATACATAATGATTATAATCATTGTCTGGTATGACACTATGTAGCCCAGGGTAGCCTTGAACTTATGGCAATCATCCTGCCTCAGCCTTCCAAGTGCTGGGCTTATAGGCATGCACCATCACACCCAGTTTAAATATTTTAGGCTTTATGGCTAAGAAGCACAATCAAGTATATTGGTAGCTATGTGTGTAACAGATTACCACATAATATGATTGGAAAAAATCAAGAATAACAGTAACTGAGTACACTTGTTGCAATGCAGGTTTACTAATGAAAGAATGGGATTCTTTGGGGGAGGGGATATTTACTTAGTTGCGTTTCAAAGTTTATATTCCTTATCATCAAATAGATTGCAAATATTCATCTGAAAAAAGGCACTCTTAGCTGGTGGGTTATATAAAAAGAAGTAGCAGCCAGATTTAGCCCAGGGGCTGTGGTCTGCTGATCCTTGATCTACATTAATGGGTTTTAAGATTAACCTCAACACTTTAATGTTTGAGAGTATTTCTTTCTCAGGTCTTTTGTTTTTTTCCCTATACCATGTTCATAATTTGTTTTCTGGTAAAGATGGAATCCAGTCTTCAGTACATATCTAGTACTCTATATGAGATATGATCACAATGTACAGTGAATGCTTAAATGTTTAAAAATTTATTATGGCAAAAGACACATTGTCATTAATTCCCCTCAAAATATCCCCCCTAGTTTCAAACACACATCCCATCATGCCTGCTACTTTCTGAAGCAGTTCTGCAAGTCTCTTTCATGTCTTTATGAGATGTGATTGAAAAGTCAGTGAATGCTGCTGCCAAGTGACATCCAACACAAAGGCAGGCTCATAAAAATGCTACAGTGCATCCTCATCCACCTCAGTCACCAGTCTGGCACCATGCCACTTCTGGCTCTTTTCCAAAGTGAAAATGACCACGAAAGACAAGTTTTTTGAATCGATTCAGGATATTGAGGCAGCCATGATGGTGCAACTAAAGATACTCATGAAAAACGACTTCCAGAACTGCTTCAGAAAGTGGCAAGTACAACAGGATAGAGCCAGGGATTTAGCTCAGTGGCTGGTGTCACTGCATGCCTCACAAGTGCAAGGACCCAAGTTCAATCCCTAGTACAAAAAAAAAAAAAGAACAACAGAATAAGTATGTTTAAAGTGAGGGGGAGTATTTTGAAAGTGATTAATGACAATGCATCTTTTACTACTATGATTTTTTAAAAAATTAAACATTCATTGCATTTTTAATCACCCTGAATAAATTCTTAATTCACCATAGGCAAGAATGTATATACATTATATAAGAAAAAGAAAAGTTAGAACTACTATATGTCTATATATTTTCCCCTTTTCCAATAATTTCACAATTAATACAATCTGCAAGTTTCACTACAATTTACTAAACAAGAGTTACTCAATAAAAGCTACATTAAAAGCAGAACAAAGTAGATATTTTCTATTAACTTGTCCTACTGAAATACTTATATATATCTAGATTACTCCAATGAGGTCAATGGTCAATATTTAAGCTCCTACAGGGACACTGTCTCAAAGAAGGGAACTAAAGAAACTGGTGAACACCTAGCTACATGCGGAGCTTGCCAGTACCCTAGGCCTTCATTGGAGCAGTTCGGTGAGGACTGCCTAGGTACAAGGGGAGCTTGTTAGTGCCCCAGGCCTTCATCAGAGAAGTCTGGTAAGAACACCGCAGCCACACGGACACCTCTGCAGCATCTCCCCTACCCCCGTGCTTTCAGGCCTCCTGCTTGTGCCAGTACCTGGATCCACCTTGCAGAGGCACAGGTGGTCATAAAAGCCATTTTAGTGAGCTCCAGATGATAGAATGGAAGTGAAAAACTTCAATAAAGGCATATCAGACATCCATAGTTAGTAAAATGGAGAGATCACCACCTTCCATTAGAACTTGGACTATCTTCAAGGGAAGGAAAGCTGGAACCTGCAGCAGAACCTTGCAGAGTTCAACCCTGCAGGAGGTCAGGGAGCTCAATTTGGGCCTTGCAGCCAGAATTCAGCCTGAATCTCAGGGGTCTGCCAATGGCTTGCTGAGACTAAATTACTTAAGTTCTGCACATTGCTGCCCACACTGTGTATTGTGATAGCAGAGATATACCCTGAAAACAGGCTCCATTTTTTTTTCTTTTCCTATTTTTAATTTTTCTTTTTGAAATTTTATTTTTCCCATTCTGCAAATTCTTCTTTTTCTTTCATTTCCCACTCAGTCTCTTGCCCCCCCCACATTATTCTTCATAACACTTTTTGTTCCTGTTCCTGCCCTAATTCGGATTTCTTCTTTTTCTTTTCTTTCCTCTTTTTCCTTCATTCAAGTGTCATTAGTTTTAAAGAAAAGTGAGTATAATTTATAGCTTCCTTATTACTGTTAAGTTGTCTTTGTTCTTGCACTCTGTCTTTCCCTTTTGTCTTCAACAGTTTTCTAGAGTTTGCGTGATCATCCTGTGTCCTCTGGCTTCACTTGAAACCTTCTCCTGTTCTATCTATCCCTCTCCTCCAAACTCCTTCTAAATCCCCATCCTGAAGGATAAAGTTGCTATATTGAAGAGTTTATTCACTATGAACATATTTTGGGCTGGTTCTCAATTTTTATTTAATTCATGTGGATAAAGGTGATAGATTAATAACTACCACAAACTGTCATTTTCTAAGCTGTGCTTGATGCTATCATATTGCTAATTTTATCAATTGGGTTAAAGGGTTGTGATTGATTTAATGAGTTGCCCCTTCTGATATTATGAAAATGAAAGTGTCTACAAGTCATTAGAGACTCAAAACCTAAAGAGCAGCTATATCAGGATGATCAAAGTACTAACCCAGGAATTAAACCAAGAACAGGCCAACAACAAAAGTAAAAATGAGAAAACACTTAAAGAAGGCACAAAGACAGACTTCCAGTGCAACAACAGCAAATTCTAAAGGAAACAAGGTGGAAAAGTCTGACAATCAACCACCAGGACACCCTGAACTCACAGCACAGGAAGTAACAAAACAGATCAATCAGGCTCTAGAAAAATTCAAAACAACTATAATTTCCCAGATAACTACAGAGCTGGTAGGCACAATGAAAGACATGATTAGAGACCTAGAAGAGAAACTGACAAAAAATAGACGAGCTCAGGACCATGACAGAAGCCACGAATGCCCAGCATAGGAAAGAAATGGAAATCATGAATGCCAAACATAGGAAAGAAAGGGAACCCATGAAACAGATTCAAACAGATATCCAGGAGATTAAAAACTCTATTGAAAGCAGTCACAGCAGGATAAACGAATGTGAAGATAGAATCTCAGATACTGAAGATAGGATTGCAGTCAGTGACCATGAAAAGAGAGATCTCCTAAAAACAGTAAGGGATCATAAGAAATCAATACAGCAACAACTAGATGATGCAAAGAAGAATAACATAAGACTTACAGGAATCCATCAAGTATCAGGAGAAAATACAAATGACTTAAAAAAGCTGTTCACAGAATTAATGACAAAAAACTTCCCAGATGGGAAGAATTTGACATACAGATAGGTGAGGCATACAGGACTCCAAGTAGCCATAATAAAAAAAGATCTACACCTAAACATGTAATAATCAAGATCCCCGAACTCCAAAAGAAGAATAAAATGCTATAAGCACTTAGAGAAAATAAACAAATCATATGTAAAGGAAAGCCCATAAAAATCACGGCAGACTTTTCAACAGAAAACCTTGGGTCAAGGAGAGCCTGGAGTGAGGTATTTCAGTCCTAAGAGAAAACAACCTTCAACCTAGACTGATGTATCCTGCAAAACTCTCTTTCAAAATGGATGGGGAAATAAGATACTTCCATGACAAAGAACACTTGAGAAACTTCATGAATACCAAAGCAGCACTATAAACAATATCGTATAAAAAAACAATGAAGGTCACACCACCATGAGGCCCAACAGAGCAAATCAACTAGGCAAGGCAAGAAACTAAAGGGGGGGATTAAAAAGAGCCAACAAGAAGAGGACAATAACATGACAATGATAAGCCAATACATATCAGTTATAACCATCAGTGTCAATGGCCTCAATTCACCAATCAAAAGAAATAGACTGGCAGCTTAGATTAAGAAGCAATATATGACAATACATTGTACACAAGAAACACACCCAGTTCAAAAAGAAACTCATAGGCTGAAAGTGATAGGATGGAAAACAGTTCTCCATGCAACAGGATCCCAGAAAAAAGCAAGGGTAGCTACCTTATTTGAAGACAAAGTAAATTTCAAACAAAAACTGATTAAGAGAGACAAAGAATGCCACTACATCCTTGCAAAGGGAACAATCCAAGAGGAAGAGATGACAATCATACATACATATGCACCAAATATTAATGCCCCCAACTATATAAAGCAAATATTAAGGGACATGAAAAACCAAATAAGCACTAATACAATTGTAGTACAGGACCTAAA